CCATCTTTTAAACTGGAGCGATTTGACTGGAGCAGGAGGAAATTTTAGTGGAGTGAGGAGCGGTGTGGAGCGGAGCGGATTAGTGCAAATTAGAGCAGAGAAGCGGGCGGAGCCAACAGCCTCGTGGCGAGGAGCGGAAATTCTCACTGCTCCACTGCGCTCACATGCTCTGATACAAAGCCTCATTAATAATTTAGCCATACTAAGCTGCTTAAATTGTGGGCGTAAATAAATGTCCGTATAGCACAGAAAAGCTGGCGCACGGCCAAATGTTGCGCCTGTCATCTGAAGCCCTAGTGATTACTGCGCATGCGTGACATAATACCGGTATGATATCGCCCAGCCCTACTATGAAATCAATTTTTCAGCGATCAAAAGTACATTTGTGCATGTATTTGAAGAGGGAACATTATTACCTTAAGCCTAAAATATAGGTTCCCCTTGCTAAAACAAGCACACACTGTTTGCAATGCTGTGTTTTACTAAGCTACCATAACTCTGGACCTCAGTACAAATAACAGTAGTTTATTCACATGTAATTTATTTATCTGAATGTCTTTCTGCCATCTCACATACTTCTCTGACCAAATATGAGGGGGGAAACATTATTTCCTGAACTGCAGGATATTTGGTGCCCCTTCCTAAAACAGACATGCAGCAATTCTGGTCACAGAAACATTGAAAAGGCATGCAGTGTTTTCACATACTGTATATGGATTGTTTACTTCTTTTGTAGAAAGACATTAAAATGACAGAGAAACCGATTAACTCTGAAGTAGTGGATAATGTCATGATTTCAAATCAGTGTCTGATAGGGGGAACATGGGGGAACTGAATTTCCTGTAAGACCGGCACAACAGCTTAGTGGCCCACAAGGAATTCTCTCGAGCCTCCCGACTGGCCACACCAGACCTGAATATATGTATATTTCAATGACATGCAAAATCTAGTAAACCCGTTAACCTGTTCATGTTTAATGGCTTTGTGAAAAGTTGGATGATGGTTTTGTGGCCTGTGTATTTGGAAATGGGATTTATTGTTTTTCTCAAACCACTGGAGTTGGAAGTACTATGTTGTAAGTAGCCCAAAGAAAGAAGATGTTGCTACAAATAGAATGAAAAATTATGTAACATCATTCAACTAATCTGCGTCGGCAATTTCTGCGAGTTTCACCGCTGGCTGGCAGAAATGGGCCAGTACTAATTGGTATATGGTACTGGCACCTCATGAACATTTGTAAGTTACACTATACTGTTAAAATGGTCGATGTCAATCCATAATAGGGCTGTGTGTGGCTCAGCCAGTTAGGATTCTGTGCCCATAATTGGTAGGTTGTCAATCCTGTTATCAGTCGAGTATTTTTGCCCTTGAGCAATGCCTATAACCACAATATCTCCAGGGCCTGGCTGATCATGATTTCTGAATTGTGTTGCTTTGGATTAAACAGGTCCAGAAGTTGGTGTTTGGAAAATGGGAGGCAGCAGCAGTAAGCCTACTGAACCATCCAGGAGATTGGTGCCTTTGCGGGGTGCCTGGTTTAAGCCTGTGGTGGAACAGGAGAGGAAACCAGAGCTCCTTAAAGACCCATGGAGGAATGCTAAGTGGGATGAGAGGCAGGAACTCCATTTTTATCAAATATAATTAACATTTCTTTTACTAATAGTACATAATTTTATCCATTTATTTTTCAAATATGCACGAGTACTATAACCTTCTCCTCCCAGAGACAGACACATACACACACATGCACACACACAAACACACACACTTCGTATCATTATAGGCACTCTCCATTTATTTTTAAGGGTATAACCGTAATCACAACTATGACAACCATAACCCCTAGTCCCCTACCCAGCCCTACACATCAAATGTACCAGTGTTAAATTAACATTGCATGGTGTTTATATGGGTCCACACCTTTCAGTGTTACCTTTAACACTTTGCAGTTTGCAGTGAGTGTTGTTTTTACAGTGTTAATATTTATTAACTCTTATAGTGTTTAATTTACAACGTAGGCTGGGTTGCACCAATGAGGATTAAATTAATCCTGGTTTAGACTTAATCTAGAGTTAGTAAATCTAGGTTTAAACTGGTTTTTAATTAATCTGAGATGTGTTGCACCTCTTAAATTTAACCCTGGATTAGCTAAACCAGTTTAAACTATGATTAAAATCTGATTAATTTTGCTTCAGTGTCTGCCATGACGGATTCCGAGGAAATGTAAACAAATTCATGATGCATCCTAGGCTAAATAAATATGGTCCTAAATAAAGTTGATGCAAATGTCTCATATTTTTAATATGAGAGGGACATGCAGCTGAGCAATGTGATACGATTGAAAAGTTTTAGACAGTGGGAGGAACGCTGGTCAGTGTGGTGGGAGGGGTTGAATGGTGCCGGTTGCGGTCAGTAGGATCGCCACCGGTGAAGATAGTGGAGGAAATATAGGTAGACACCTTGTGAATTCATTAGTGTGACACTGTTATCGGCATGTTGGATTATTTTTATTGTGGGAAGGATTTGGTTCACTGCCGTGCTTTGTGGACTATGGCCAAACTCTCCCTCTGAGTTAGCTGACCAGACCCCGTGGGTGGGTCTCATGGAAGATAGGGAAGTGCTCTTTTTAAAGTTCTTTGTGTGTGTGTGTTTTTAGGACAGTTAGTTGGGCTCGTGCAATATGGCGTGCTAAGGGAGGGGGGGCTGGATGGAATTGTATATGGTGCCGCTTAGGAGGGGGTGTTTTGCATACAACAGTGTGAATTAGGATTATTCCTGGCTTGCTGCACTTTTGTGATAGTTGGTTGCTGGTGATTATTTACTGAGTTGCTGTGTTGCACACTCCAGCGACGGGGTTTTGGCCCGTGTTCTCTTGCTGGTTGTATTGTGCTGAGGGTTGGCTAAGCGGAGATGAATTAAAGTATTTGATCCCTCAATTGGTGGCGTGTATCCATTGGGCTTGCTGGGTGGGTAACCTGTAGGAAAGGGGGCTAGGATAGCTAAAGGATACACCTTTAAAGCCCACAGAGGTTCATTACAATATTTTACTTATATGGCCCGCACCATGTTCATGATTCAAATTAGATTTGCCCATCAAACTTTTGTTTTCCAGAGAATAAAAAATGGTGTAACATTATCCTGCTAATAGGCACTGACAAATTACATTGCTGGCCGGCGCCGGCGATATTAGATAAAACAATATAGTTAGCAACTGAATTATCCAATGCAGACACGAGCAAAAAACGTATTCATTTCTATATTAAATATAATTGGGGTACAAAAATAATTCCGTCTGCTCTTGCACTTAAGCGTAACTTGCATGTTAGCACCAGTGCTTGCGGTCAACCAATCAGTAAGCTATGGCGGTGCGAAAGCACCTATTTCTGCAGAACTCCAAAAAGATCCCCGTCAACAATCTGATAATTCCCTATAGCATAAAAATGCAAAGTTANCAGAACTCCAAAAAGATCCCCGTCAACAATCTGATAATTCCCTATAGCATAAAAATGCAAAGTTACTAGGAGCTGGATAAGTCATGGTACAGCGGAGTTCCTCTCACTTCTATGCATGATAGCTGGACCTTTCCACTGAGAGGTATATGATACACTCATTTTTAAATCGATACCACATGGACAACTCACTATTGCTTTAAAAAAACCAATTGTGTTTATCCTGTCTTGAATTTTCCTACATGGGATTCTTTCCTCTGATCCCACCCAACAAAGAAATTCAGTCATGTTTTAAATAAAAGTAAAACAGACCTAACATAAACCTCCTCGAAGGGTGGTTTAAATATGACTGCTAATCTAGCTTTATACTTGATTTAAATTCACTGGTGCAACAGACTTGAATTTAATCTAGGTTTAAGTGGAAATTAAACTAAGATTGACAAAGGTTTAGATTTAACCAAGATAGATTGTAAAGTAAATTTAAACTAGGTTTTGGTGCAACAGGATTTGTAGATAAATCTTGATTTAATCTAGTTTTAAAGTTAAACCATGTTGGTGCAACCCAGCCATAGAGTGTTAAGACAATGTGTCGCCACCTCTTTCCAAATTGCAAGCTCATATGGGTGGCCCATATCTGCCCCATTTTAATGTACTCTCATTTGAACTCATTTAGGCATTCAGCTGCTCTGTTTTACTAACCCACCATAATAAGAAAGACTCAGACCAACATAACCTTTTCTGTTTTTTTGCAAGTTTTGTTGCATCTTAGCTTTTGATAACCAAAGAACTGTACTCATGTAAGTTGATGAACTTTAGAAAACTGTTATTGTAGATATATTTCTTTGAGCATGAATAACATAAGTTTCTTCAATAAGGGCAGGAAAGACCCAGTGAAGCTCTCCTGAAAACCACGTGTGGTATAAAAGTGCGTGCAACATATGGCACCAGTCACCAAACAAAGATTATGAAGCTAAACTGTGCTAGACTGCATAACATAATTATTTATCAGAGCTGAGAAAAAGTGAGAGCTACAGTATCTTAATGGTTGAAGGAGTGCATTTCCACTAAAGCAGATATAATGGGTGGTGGCCTTATTGCTTTTAGACCACATCTTGGGATAGAAGAACAAATCAAATCACTTTGCTCATTTAATATGCAGATTTTTTAAAACCCACCACGATCAAGGATGGTATGGTACTGATATTGTCTTTACCACATTTTACTTGTTCTTCTGGGCTGGTGTATGCTAATTGTTTTGAGTAGTTTAGCTGTTCTTATGTTGGGCATTTTTAGTTTTTTGATGAAATTGATGTTATACTTTTGAGGACTGAAAAAATGTCCTTACAAGGTAGGAAGTTACACATTTTTGTGTTAGTGTGGGGAAATCTGGTCACCACAATGTAATAAATACAAAAATGCAGAGACATAAACACGCATAAATGGGGTGGTGTGTGGCTCTGCAGATATCACAAGATGATATCTGTATATATCATCTACCTTGTGTTTATGCATCACTGTTTTGTATCTTCTGCCTTATACTTTGTCTGTTAATGCCCAAACTGTTAATTGTCTTTTGTCGTGGTATATCCATTCTGAACATGATCTGATTCTGAAGATTCTGATCTCATGGTTATTTCACCATGGGCCCCTTCAGCAAGGCCCTTAACCCTAATTGCTCCAGGGACTGGCCAATCTTGCTTCTCAAATTTTTGTAGCTTTGGCTAAAAGCATATGCTATAGATATAGAAAGAGTATATAACCACTGTAGGAATTATTAGCTCAGGTAATTTTTAATATCTCCACCAATATGTTTGAAATTAATTAAAGTTTAATTAATTATTATTTAATGCTGATTATTAACAAATCTTTATGCCGAATGGTCGGCTCCTCCAAACTCGATTGCGGTATCCCTGTGAGTCTGTTAATGTGAGACTTAAACGGGATTCACTAATTACCAGTATCGCTTAGTAACCTGGGTTAGAAGGCTCGTCCAGCGAGCTGCATCACCAGGTAATGTAAACGATTGGTAGCGAAGCTCCCCTCACGGCCAATGAGAGAGAGAATCGCGATGTTTCAGGCGAGTTTGAGGTTCAGACTCAGAGCGTGTAGCAAGATCGCACAATGGCAGGAACTTATTATGAGACACACAATGACGGAGGCTAAAGTGGTGTAAAAGACATGCATTTATTCCTAACTAACACAAACAACAAACACGAAATAACGGAATAAAACAAACGATGTAATTATGAAAATGCAATGACCGGATTTAAATGAGTAA